GGGTGAGTAGGACGATGTACGTCCAGAAGTAAAAGTTTATAATTTTTTTGTATTTTTTAGCCTGTATTTTCTTCCTTTTCTTTAATTCCTGCTTTACGTATTGTTAGTTACTGTGATTTGTCCTGTTGTTTTTTATTTTTTTATTTTTTTTTTTTAACACTCGAAGTCTGCGTTGCATCCCCAAGTCACTCTTCAACTCCTTCATAGCAAACACTTACTTACCTCTTTGATAGATACATCCACTTGATTTTACTTCGCTTCAAGGAGGTTTCCATTTATACAACTTTTTTTTTTACGACCCCTTGTCAAATCAGAGGTGAATATAGACTTTCCCTTGTTTTACGCTCCTCCGAGTTCTTCCCCACCCTCCAATATAACATTTAACTCCCATGCTGGGTAGTAATGTCGAATCTCCCGCCTCTCAGACCACTATTCTTTGTTATCTGTCTGGCTAAACGGCTCCTGTTCGGGCCCATCACCCCCACGGGTTGGTGCTCGACTGTCGGGTCTGGCCGCGCAAAATCTACACATCACATGTTTTTATTAATCTATAGGAACATCACCTCCACTGTCATTTGCCACGTCTTACGACCGCATTCTCCATTAGCCAACTGGTCTCGGTGGCACTTATAAGTATCCTGAAAGTTAACGATTTGTCTCAGGGTCCCACGCAACCATTTCCCCGGCTAAAAGAAAGAGAGAAAGCTAGAACGACCAAGAAAGATAGGGAAAAGTTCGACGCAGTTCAACCCGACCTCGAGCCTCAATTTGCGATCTCCTATATACCAGCCTTTTTTTCTCTCAGGAACGCCTACTTTACAACCGCGGATAGCACAACGTCTGAAACTAAGCCGAACCCCGAACCAGAGCCCTGGTTTCCGATAGTTCTGGCAAAGTTTTTGTCAACGTCACACCAACCTGCCTTTTCGATACCAATAAAAGAGACAGAGCCCCTCCAGGCTGCAATATCAAATGAGACCTTGCGCACATTCTTCCGATCCTGTGCAGTCTGAACCCAGGACGTCCATCATGGCTCCATCCGCGCAAACCGAAGACGGGGTATTTATCTCCAACTTCCAACATCCCTCTTTATCTCTGCCAGTTTAGCTAACATGGCCACTTTTCCAGCCGAGAAATAACATATCGAGCCTCGAAAAATATAAATACCTTGACGTAGGTACTTTTGAACAGATTTTAGAAATGGACGACGAGGATCAAGAGAGGGAGTTCAGCCGAAGTATAGTATATGGCTTTTTCGACCAGGCAGAAGCCACATTCCTCAAAATGGAATCCGCGATGTAAGCGTTCTCCTCTACCCTTCTTATATCCCACTCCCTTCGCTCCCAGCCTTGACCTTGGTCTTGACATCCATCCCCTCCCTTGACGTGTTTGCCGTGACGTCATCATAACATCATCCCGTGACCCCTATCTTTACCTTTCTGATGACGTCATTACCCGCACCCTCCAAGGAGAAACCTTTTTTACTAACCACAACGTTATTGCTACCGTGGTTACAGCTCGTCCGAAGATCTAGCTGAGCTGTCCCAACTAGGTCACTTCCTCAAGGGATCCTCGGCTACCTTGGGCCTCACCAAGGTCAAGGATGCCTGTGAGAAGATCCAGAACTACGGCCAACAAAAGGACGAGTCTGGCACCCATCCTGAACCGGATAAAAGCAGGTCGCTAGCCAACATCAAGAAGGCACTGGCCGAGGCGAAGAATGATTATCACGATGTCGTTAACGTTCTCAAGTCGTTTTATGGCGAGGAGACAACCGCATAAATGACCTTTCCTGCATCCGCTTATTTCCCCTCCATTCCCATTTTCTCATGTCACGACGGTTCTTTTTCACGGAGTAACTCCCACTATAATCCAGGTTTGTCTTTAGCCTTACGATACGCGCGAAGCCAAGTTTTATCCCACGGCGACTTGATGACCCGTTGCCTCCTACCTCCTATACTACTTCTCTCAGCCAGACCAGCAAGCCTCTTTCTTCAATCCTCTCTAGTCGTTTTCCCATCATGCTGTCTTTGTACTCACCAATTGTTTTAGACCCTCCAAAAAATCGGCTTTTCTCTTCCTACGTTCATGGCTTGACTGCAATATTACCTTTTGTCCCTTTTACCCCTTTTTTTTTCTCTATTTTTTATCTTATCTGATTTGCCCTCCGTTCGATACCATGGTTCACGCTTATATGCTTGTCACTACATTAACCTTTGCTGATGTAAGTTCGAGCTGGCGTATTGATTTCTTCATATTTTTTTCTTTTGCATTGGCATGATGGTACACCAAAAGAACGACGTTAAAGAAAAAAGAAAAAAAAAGTATAAAATGAATAGGAATCTATGTTTTTATCATCGCTCTATTCTGTTCTAGTTTTGATTTTGTGCCTTGATCATGGGACATATTGAGGATGGTGTCGAGGGCGATCCAATTGATATCAGGAACCGTCTGTAAGCACCAGGATAATACAATCGTCTATTGATATAATAATGGGCTTAGAGTCCTTTTATACAGCATCCAAGGACTGAAAGAGAAGATGGGAACCCGTGGGTTAAGCAATACACCACCTTGAAAACTTCATGCAATACACCATAGCTGTCTAGTGAAACAGTAAAGAAGGCATGACAAGCCATCAAAGAAAACAATATAAACCAAGGAACACAATATCAACAAAAACAGAACGTAACAGTATACACAAATAACAGGCTCAAAAGTCATGGAAAGGAGTACTCAATGGGTTGAGTATAATCATCACATACCGATCAATCCCAGCGGTAAGGTGTCAAAAAAAGGATGATAGGATATAGGTAGAAGGTCAAGGTCAAGGCCCAAGGTCAATCAAGTGGCGGCATAGCTCCGTGCAGTCGTTATAGAAGGTGACTGTACACAGTACAGGACCAGGAATTCGTTATGTAGTGATACTATTCAATCACTTCCAGTTCTTCAAGCGGGCAAGTTCCTGTCTGAAAGCATTCCCCTCCCGGCGTTGAACTTCGTTGAAAGTCTCCGTATCGGAAACTATATGCTGACGCGATGGGAGTCGCTCAGGGGTGTCGGAATACTGCTGTCCGCTATCCTCCATGTCGTCCAACCTGATAGAACCACCGGCACCGCGTCCACTTCTCATGGCTCTGGCACGTCTACCACCGTAGCCCTTGTTGCGTCTGCCCATAATGTTGCTCAAGCCAATTCGGCGCTGGTGCTTCATACCAAAGCAGAGGCCGAGTAGAATCAGGAAAACGGCGCCGAGACCAAGAGGTAGACCGATGAGAAGGCCAAGCGGCTTGGGTGCTGGAGTTGGAGGGGGTGGAGGATGGTGGACTGGAGGCTTGTTGACGAGGGAGATGGTAGGACCGTTGTGATGGACCTTTCCTTTGCCCTTTGGAAACTCATCCAGGAAAAACGTGAAGTTATTGCGTTTCTCGCCCTTGAGCCATTCCGGCTTCATCTGAATGGCGACATAGCTGTGGTTGTTTGGGGTCTCACGAGAAAGCCAAGCATTGAGGCCTTCATTCATAGAGACATTGACATAGTCTAAGCCAACTCTAACAACAGAGTCAGAACCGAGAATTGAAGTAAGCCAGGTTACTGTTAAGACAGACACTGTTAGCTAAACATGCAAAGCGATGTCCAGTTGAAGCACAGTATCGTGCTACAAGCTACATACCATAGTAGGTGTCATCGACGTATACTTCTTGTTGATCATGAGGTGAACAGAAGGGTTTGACAGAGAGGTCCTTTTCGGAGCTGCATGCCTGAGCTTCCTTGGGCTTGTCACCAGTGAGCTCTGGATCTTCTTGGGACCCTGAACCTCCAGTATCCGTGTCATCTGAAGGGGTCGGGCTTGGAGTAGGGGCGGTCGCCTTGGTCGAAGTAGACGAGCTGGAAGTCATGGAAGATTCGGCACCGCTGGTAGCTGTCGACTGAGTAGTATCGGTTCCCGTCGTCTTTGCAACCGCAGAGGTCGACATGTCTGGAAAATGGAACCACGTTAGATCAAAGCTACAGGCGCAAGTATAGCAACAGAAACATACCTTCGGGAGCTCTTTTGAAGTAAGCTGCATTTGACGCAGTAGCTCCGCTGCCCAGAGCGAGGGCGACGAGAGCTATGTTCCGTAGCAAGACCATGGCTGCGGTGGCTGGCCGGCTTCTCGCGGATGTGTCCTGCGAAAGAGCTGAAGGTATCGAGTTCAATTGCCCCTTTCAACCCGCAAAGAATACCTTGTCTGCTAGGATATACACAGTTACCCGGCGAAAGGATGCGTAGGGCAAAGAGTAAGAGGACGACGACGACGATGCCAATGATGGAGGCGAAGGAAGAGAAAGAGAGAAAAGCGAAAAAGAAAGAGAAAAAGACGCCAAGGAAAGCGCCTCGTAAAAAGCTTGTTTCGATCTCCCGGTATTTCGGGTGTCTTAAAATACGTCCGGAGGAAGACGCGGCCTCTCTCCCATTGGCTGCACAGCCTGACGGTTTCCCGAAGAGGCTTAGATGCAGGAACAGAATGTGTAATATTACGCGATCTGTATTTGATTTACACCAAGACCAAAAGGCGCCTGAAACGAGCTTGAGAAAAGCCGAAGAAAAGGAGGCATAAAAAGGGAAAAAGAGGCAGAAAGACGGCAAGGCTGGGAGCAAGTCAAGAGAGATATCTCTGGCAACGATATGAATGAAAGATCGAGGCTCTGGCTTAAGGCTGACTTTGACAGGCGGCTATTGAGACTGGCTTGAAGGGGCTTTAAGGTTGAGCTAAGGCTTAACTTGGAGCCTCCACAAACTGTATATTCTTTCCCGCAAGACACCATTATCAGATGTGAAGACAGCAATAAAGCAATAACATGCCCTTGAGTGACGGGGATGCTTAGGGCATTCTGTTGACCTGTGACTCCCCTTCAACAGATGCCAATGTCATTTTTTTGACGTTGCATTGAGTGATAGCTAATGTATGGACTGTTTCCACCACCAGAGGAGTGACGGATCCCACACAGGGCATTGAGATATGCTATAACCCACAACATGGCAGTTATATCCAGCGCCTCTTGAGTGCTTATGATTCGAAGGAGTATAAATATCCTGAACTCTTGAATTTAAGAGCATAAATTGTGCAAATGCATAAAATGCCAAGCGAAATATTGGCATAAGGTAATCACATGACCATAACTATAACGTGACATTGAGATCGGGTGACGTAATCCTTTTATGGCCATTATAATCGACTCCATAAGATCAGACGATAATCTTCCTATACTCGACCGTTTGACGTCTTGGATTCAGCTTCAACCTCTCTTCTTATTCTACGGTAACAATGTTTAGATACCCTTGCGTCATCAAAACAAGAAGAAACAAGGGAGTCACTAGTTACTCAACTAAAGAAGAAGACCTCCCTCCTGGCAGTCCTCCTCCATAAAATCTCTTCTACTAGTTATTACTACTATTACCATGGCTATTAAAGCAGATATCGAGATTGATATCCGAGACCGTATCAATTGACTTACACTGGTGCCTGTTAAGTAGCACCCAGGCCAGCTGTACTGCTGGTCAGTTGCCCAAAATACGCCCCCACGGCCGCCATTGCGAGTATCAACCCGATTACCAACTCGACGACGACAACCCTGCCACCCCCACCATGACGACTACGACAGTGACTACCCTCACCATCATTGCTGCCAACGCTGCTAGGTGCTAGCAGTACCAAAGATGATTATGTACAAAACATCATATGCTGGATCTTGCACCCATGGGTACTTTTATTAGATCCGCAGTAATAAAAGTAAGAGCAATAAGTAATCGCTTTTGCACCCCATTCTTATCCTTGTCATTTCAGCCTCATCCTCTATGTCTCTCTTATAACTGCTTTTTTCCTTACTTGTACTCCGTACTAAGGGAATACCTTGACTAAACCCCTGATACTCCCACCCTATCCTGAGTCCTATTACTAGGAATATGAGAGGAGGTAGTAAAAGAGAGGTAGAAGAAGAAGTGGAGGAGAGATCGGCGGTCAGGTTTCAACGTGAATTGCAATGATGAAATATCATGCGGCTTGTGGAGTCTAACTAACTGGTTCGATTAAAGATAATTTAGACGCAGCAAGGGGACACACTCCCGCCATCCCCACACCCAGCATTCGTATATCAAAGGGCTGACCAAGGTGGAGGCAAGGCTTAGAAGGGGGAAGGGGGAAGATCTCACCATCGTACTTTGCGCACGAACTTTAATCTTTGTCCAGTCTCGATGAAAACAACACGTTAATCGTGTGCACGATCTGTGGCCTCCTATCTGATCGCTTGATTCAAGCCCTCGAGTGGCAAATTGCTCGCCTGCCAATCGCTTACTCGACGAACTTTCTCAATTGGCTGTCATCTGCAGGGTTTAGTTCAGATCGTGAAGCCAGTAACTGACTGGGCCTTAAAATCTGCCCCCTTCATGTTGAAAGTTGCCACTCGGGATTGTTTGTTTGTTAGTTAACTATTCCGTACCCCAGATCGTCATAACTACGTCATACGATCGCTAATGCTCCCCCAAGGGTTCGATACTTCTCGTTTCTCGCTCCATCAGAGGGCAATGGCACCATCGTGACTATTTCCGCTGAAACTGCGTTGGGACTCACAAGAAATAGGGGAAAACCCCCTAACACAACGGAGCTGGGAAGCTGTGATTCCTCTCAGTTCCCCTCGGGGTCTGTGACAGGTATTTTCTGCTCTATACGTAGGGTGCATGTGCGTTAGTGGAGGTACCCCACGGGATCCTTCACTTAGTTACCGAGAACCTTGTGTGGACGGGATCTCCGAAATACGACCGAAATATTGCTATGGGGGTATTCCGTATGCTGGGTATAATTTCACTTGATGGTGATGGCTCGAGCACGGCGTCAATCCGTCACTAACTAATTGGAGTGGGTTGGTTGATCTTGCCAGCTGGCAATAACCTAGGTTGAATCCAGGAAATGGACCATGAGGCAGGGCTGCTCTTGGGTGGGAATTATGTATGTGCCAACGATAGAGGGAACGAAAACGACTGAACTGCTCATAGGCTCACTAACTAGGGCAGTGCAAAGCTTAGGAAAGATCGGGCTCAACCCAAAAATTTCTAGGAGCATCTTCCCCGAAAGCAGACTTATCGCTTTGGCTGATAATTCCTTTGTCTAAAGCGAAGGACTCACATAATTACCCTATACCTGCTCCTTAATCCATTTCTTTTCGTATGGTATTCAATGCGAATGATCACGCTAGTGTGACCAGATATCCCTTGTCAGCTTTCTATGCCTCGCCGTGTATTAAACCGATAGCCTATCTATAGAAATGGGAAGAAAGGGGTGCGAAGGGAACATGAAACTCTTCATATCTGGGCAATGATAAGCAATTTTAAAAAGGAAGAGGAAGATTGCATTGTTAGCACCTGCCTGCAGGCTACCCTGATTCCCCGTTACATGCAGACCACTTCAGAATTACAGGCACCTGCAGTGGGATAGTCAATGCCCTGGCTGAGATTTAGTATAAGGCCACGTCAAAGGGCAAACCCTAAGGAAAAGCATATATTCAGGGGCCAATTGTCCGCGGTAAAAAAGGACAGGTGTGTATACGGGGAGGACGTAAGGGCATAGCCGAAGGGGGCTTATGATTGCCTTCCAACCCGTACTTACACCAAGCCAGGACCTGCATGCATAAGTGTACTATTTTAGTGTGTCTCTGGTATTATATCTAGACAAAAAGTTAGTTAGATTGTTTGTATGGTTCAGTAAGTGAAAATGTTTATCGGCTTATGAGGCCGTATATACAAACTCGCGGTTAGAGGCCGGGGTGGTTATCGTGATATAATTAATTATCGATAAATCACCGGAATCCTATGTAGCCCAGTGCGGAACGCACATAACTTGAACCCTTGGTCCCCAACACCTTATTCAGATCCTTATACGACGGATAAGGTTACTCGAATCAAGGAGACGGGGTTGGAAACGAGGTTGACGCTTCCACTCTTCCCCATAATTCCCAGAGACTCCGCTGCCGTTGGTTTGCGCAGGGGGTGCAGAGACTTTTTATAAGCCGACTTCTTTTTTTTTTCTCCTTCTCAAAGGAGCAATGGAGAAGCGGAGTAGAAGGGACCAGACACCGTGAGTTCTTCCTTCCACGGGGTGTTGTGGTCAATATTTCATTCGCTGTAACATCTCTATTGAACAAACAGCCCAACAAATGGGCTGGAGTGACCATGCAAGCAGGACCAGGGGAATAAGAATTGCAAATTATTCCAGCGTTTCCCTGCGTACTCCACACTCCCTGTTCCCGAAATCAAAAACTAATGCGTTAGCCGGGTAAGCAAGGAGGCTTGCATTAGGCGAACGGCAATACACAACGCGAGCCCTGAGTCAGTCGTGATTGGCCTTGGGAATGGAGCACCATGACCAAAGGGGCATTCTGCCTTTCTAAAGAAAAGCAAAAAAAAGTAGTTATTGAGAGAGCAGTTCGATTGCAACGGCTATGATTTGGGTCCCGGCTACCGCAAAATGCGCGAAAAAGTACCCACGCTGCAGGCTGATCCACACAGCTTTAAATACACCAGCCTGTTCCTTGGTGTCGGCGGGAGAGCAGAGGGAAGTAGGTACCCGGACGGCCGTGTTGGCCCAAAAGACCGGAAAGGAATAGAGGCACGCATGTCACTGCATCCTGAAGAATACGACGGGCGCTAACTAGTCCAACTTGATAACTAGCTGAAGGGGTGGTATCGTACGCCAGGGTTATCATGGGATGCAGAGTTCGGATAATGGACAGCGCCGGAACGTGCTTATTGGGCCCCTTTTTTTTCGAGCTGAAAATATTTACCGGATGGTCACTCCCATGTTGGCGGAATGGACGGAATCACCTAGAAAGTGTCACCAATGACTCGAAAACACCGAAGGAGCATGGTAATTGTCGAACAAAAGGGCTTGATTCTGTCTCACAACGGAGGTCTCAGAGCCAACCAGCTATCATCATGCGTTTTCCTCATCAGCAACGATGTTGTCTGAATAGCCGGCGCAATAATAACATCGATATCAATATTCAACGGCTGAGGAGTTCGAGGCGGATGGCACACGCATACACGCACACACATACGGTATCACTTAAGAAAAGCTGTCACACCCTATCAACCCAACCCAGCTCATATCAACTGCGCTGCAGAATTAACAACCACGCGGGGATGATTGCCGTGGACGATGCGCTGGGAGGAAAGCCGCCCAAGGTCGGCTCCATATTTCGTCATAAAGTTCTCATGTGAACGGCAGCCTTGTCGAGAGACTTCCAGTCCGTTGTTCACACAGTATGTAGGTTGCTGATATCCCTGCCCAAGCAAAGCCCTATTCTCCCACTCCCTACGGTGGAGGAGCCAATCCATTCCATGTTTTCTAGAGGGGGACGTTCCGATGGAGCGGTTACCGATCAGCATGGCCGCACTGCAAAGTCGACATTTGAGGTATATTTTGTCGATATATAGTCTTATGGGGACAGGGGATCCGAAATTTGTCCGAACCTTCCAGGCCTTCTGTGTGGTTGGAAACCGGGGTCAACCTAGTCGCACATGATAAACAGGATATCATATTGCTTTTCCGTCGTATGCATCGAGTTATGTACGATAAACTTACTGCATTGTGACGTTGACATATATCTGTCGAATTCGCGTTCAACCACCCCCCCTTCTCCCCTTTAATTGAAGGTTGTAAAAATAAAATATAAAAAAAAAAATAAAATAAAATCTAATCAGGGCTGCAGAGAACGTAGTAAGATGCATAATGTTTGCTATCAGAGGACTAAGCTCGATGCTTCAGAGGCGCTGGGGGTTGGAGATATAAAAAACCGCAGGGTCGCCGTGGATTTCCAGCTCCAAGCATTTCCACACTCGGCCTCTCTTACCACTTTCTTGTTCGTCTTTATTCATTCCTTTTCTAGCAAGCATAGCTCTTTGTTATTCCGAGAGTACACCTAGCATTCAATTGAAGGGATCTGATGCCTGGTATACCTAAAAGAGGATTTGATCTCACCTTGATCGATTATTGATTTACCCAAGGGGGAAAAAGAAGAAGAAAAGATGTCAACTCCTGTTGGGCCACGAGCGTCAAAGGAGGATTTCATGCGCGCACTTGGTCTAGATGCAAACAATCCTCAGCATGAGCCATATTACCGTGCCATGAGGGTGAGTGACCCAGCAATTTGGTAGAAGGAATTCACCTACCAATTACAAGTTCCAGTGTTCCAGTGGCTATCATGTGAGAAAAGGAGGAATGAGGTGGAAAAATGTTATGCAGAGGAATGTGTAAATGCTGATAGCTTACCCGATCAGGATGAAGCAATTGTGGTGTACAACTATATGCACCGAAGCAACTCGGACTTGCTTGATAATTATCAAGCCGACCCGAACATGCGGCCACCATACTGTTGGCACTACATCCGCCCTGAACGTCAGCGGTGGGGCGTGATGGAGATATGGAGAAATTCAGGACCCGTGACACGACCCTTATTTGATCGTGGTGCTACCCACGGGGAGTACGGCCCTAATTGGGTTACTGGATGGTTGTTGTACAGTGTATTCCGGTCGCGGGATATACGCAACAATCGTCATCGTAACCAGAACAAGAAAGACCCAGGCGGTGGTGGTGGTAACGGTGGTAGTAGCAGCAGTAGTGGTGGTAGCTCGGGTAAAGTCGACACTTTTCATTCTCTCCATCCCCGCTTAAACAAACCTAGACACACATCTTTCAATAGTTGAGAACCGAAAGAGTACTAACGGTTTCTTCTCTGATGGGTTCGACTTCGGCTCAAAGGCTCAAAAAGTCCATCCTCAAGTTCAGAAACACAGACAAAGTCGACCTATTATGATCCTATCAGACACTGAATGTTGACCGGTTTTCTCGTCGTTGCTATATCAGCCATGTCTAGCGGGCCGGGCGGCTAATATTGCGGGGCAAATTCCTTCATAGATTGGAAAGTTCTATTCTCCTTTCGCACACATACACATTCGCTTTGTATCTTCTTTTTGTTGTATGCGCACCACTTATTCGATTCTGCTTAATTCTTCGTTTTGGCGATTTCATGGCATGAGCCAATTGGCCAACAATTCCCCGTCCTTCTTCGTTGAGTTTCCTTTTTCTGTTTTCCTTTTTTATCTGCCGCAAAAATTTTCTCTCCAGTAACTTGCTTTCGCCAAATTGGGTTTATGGATGATTGTTACCTGCCCTTCCGTTCTGCACAACGTTAATACGGGGCTAACGAGGAAGTTGGGAAAAAAAAGAAAGAAAGAAAAAACCAAAAAAAAATAAAGAGAGAGAGAGAGAGCTAGCGTGCAAATCCATGACCCGAATACCCAGATCATGGCTAGCTGAGAGGGAGGAAAACCGATCCTGGACAGCATCTTGTTTTCGAGTTTCTAGAACTAGAGCATCATGTGTGGTTGCACAGTTTCTCAACCACCAATGAAATTCAAGTTCACTCTCCCCAGAAATTAGTTTCTCCTTTGGAGTTAGATGCAGGGATCCTCGCGGCTGATATTGACATTGACATGTTGTGGGATGGACTGGAGGACCTGCTTTACGAAGAGCAGCGCTAGGGGGCGCAAGGTTCAGGGTATCTGCTGGAGGGGGGTGTTCATCCATTTCGATGTGTCAACGTAACCATGGTATCATAACTGAGTTTGAAGGAATAAACAGGACACTCCTACGTATACGGGCAACCACGTCAGTTTCTGTTCTTCTTGTATGCTCTTCTTCTTTTCTTTTCCCTTGCTGTCGTTGTTGATGTCGTCGTTGTCGTCTTTACCGACTTTGTGGACGGATTTGGAAAACGGAATACAGCGTATTAGTAATCATAAAATCATATCACGTGATATGCGGCTCAACATGACATTATGTAATACTTGCACCCCCTGAAACCGGGGAAGTTTGGCGCTTCAACTACATCTTGATAAACATTGAGATGCAAAGGAGTATCGATAATACCCGTACGAGGGGCTTTTCTACAGTCTGATTGATTTTATTTGCTCACTGTAAACTGGTGTTTACCCAGGGCATGCTAGACAAGCGTTGGAAGGCAGGCTGGGTCTCTACACCGTCACCAAACAACTACAAGATAGTGTTTGGGTTGCAAGGTATGGGCTAATACAAGGCTGATAGGATATGCAACTTGATACCGAGTTCAAAAAGGACCTGCGGCAATAAGAAGTCGTACTGGGGGCGGTGAATCACTCTCGTATACACAACGAGCGAGACGTGTTGCGCCGGTTCCAACATATATCACCGTTTATACGGCCACTACTTATGAAATTGAAGAACCATCAACTCCTCCTTCCATAGTTTGAAGCATCTAAATGATGACCCATTGAATGCCCCTGATACCCAGCGCCTCAATTGGGCAGAGGTCAAATATGTTGCCAAGAAGGTACTTGAAGAAATCTCTGCATTTCATGAGGAAAGGTTTGTTCATACTAGTAATTTGGATATAGTCCCTACTCCATCTGTACTTTGCTGATTTTCCGAGCTGAATATATTAATCCTAGTAACGTGCTGGTGAATCACAAGCAGGTGAACAGCAAAGGCAGCCGATTTACGGATGTCCAGTTGGCTGATTTCGGAAGTACTATTCACAAAGACTCTAACGATGCAAGAAATGAAAATCCCATTGGGACACCAATTTTTGGAAGTCTAGAGACTCATCTACGATGAGATAGAACACTTCTACTGACATCTGGTCATTCGGGACAATGGTTGGCTCAAATACTACATCAACCAGATGTTTAATTGGCTAACTTCTTCCCACATCATTAGTCTTCTACGAGGAAGGATTTCATATATTCAAACCCGGTGTCCCCGTCGGCCATGACGAGTATGAACCCAAAATGCTCGCTAGACATTATAGATTTGGCCTGCTCCCAGTTTCCTATGAAGAGATCGCTGCTGAACCAAGGCTAGCTATTCTGATGTGGATTATGAATATACCCCTATCTGACTACTCTGCGAGAGATCCGCCAGGAGGATAAGCAGTTTGTTCAGAGAATAATGAAGCTTGATCCACGAGATAGGCTGACAGCGCATCAACTCTTGGAAGATGAATGGTTCCACCAGTCTTGAGGGAGAAAGAGGCAATTTTATATATACTGTTTTATAATTCCTCTAGGGTCTATTTTAAGGTATATTTCCCTACCTTACTTATAGATTCGTGCCATCCCTTGCCTTGCCTGCTATCGTGACTGCAGGGTGGTTTGGCTGATATTACCCGATGGAAGGACAAAAGGGAACAACGAGCCAAACCTTCCAACCACCTAGCACAGAAAGGCAGAAATGGCACCGAATAAGAAGAAGCCAACGCGGAACAGAAGGAATGGAGGAGGGGGAGAGACAACCCTCATCCTTCAACTTCAGGCCAACATGTGCTGGGGTAGAGTTCGTTATTTTCCGCCCGGCGGTTACACATCACATGGTAGGGAAGGGAAAGATTGTCGGAATGAATGTATTTTTCCCGAGTCAGATCTGTGCTCGGCCAAGATGCATTGGCGAGTTAACTTACGCTCGTCGGCATGCGTTGTTTGTTGACCTGGTTTGGTTATTAATCAGGGAAATATATATTGGGACGGGAAGAAATTTGTTTTTGGAATTTGCATTTTGCATAAGGTCTGCATTTCTTTCTCCCTCGAGCGTCCATTTTAAGATAGTGAGTGATGTGATCTTTTTTTCCCAGAGAGTCGTCATCATTGAATCGTAAGTCATGAAGCGTAAGGTAAGATATGGAGAAGTTCCAGTTCTAAGGAAACAAGGCAAGTAAGTAAACGAGCAAGAAAAGTCAGAGTAAATAAGATAAGATGTCCACCGAAGGAAGGCAAGAAATAGAATTGAGTGAGTAGAATTATTCCAGAGATTGACTTGAGAAAAATAGAAGAACAAAGCGAAAGGGCACCTCCATGCCTGAGAGCATTGCGGCTTTTTGCTTGGAGGGAAAACATAGGCGGAGTTCTATAGAGATGGAGACGGGGAGGGAAAAACAGGCATGAGAAGGAGCAGTCGTAAATGGTCATTCAGTCATAATTCATTTGTCGTTAATAGTTTTTTTGGGTGGTCATCACAGCTGGAAATCATCAGGGGGAATGCCGCGTATCCGATCCGAGCATCATCGATACAAGGCAAGAAGCGGTAGTAAAAGAAAGCGTAAAGGCGAAGTTTTTGCGAATGAACCAGATGTCTGCCATCAAGGTAGGTCTGTGGAGTGTGTATTGGTGTGTGTGGTTCGTTCTTAGTCGTGTAACGGTGTGAAGAAGTGTGATGGACATGCGGCATGGATGGACTCGGAAATATGTGATAAGCCCGCTGATTCGTTCATTTTCATTTTCATTTTTTCTTTTGCAACTCCCCCCCGGGGCAGAGTACAAGGATTGCAGGTTGGTATGTATAGTACGCATGACGTAGTGAGTTATATGATAGGTAGATTCGTTGGACGGTTGGAGCTGGAGCCGAGTTAGATTTCGGTTGGGCTCATGCAGGGCAGCGGGAGGCTGGATGCCACCCCCTGACGGTCCGGATGTATGGGCATAACCTTACCTCAAAGTCGATCTTCTACCTCCATTTTCTCTCGTAGCTTTCGGGGCTGCTGCCTCCGCTCCGGCTGCCGCCGCTGCTGGTCGTGGATGTGTCGGTGTCATCTGAATATCGTGGCCTTCGGTCCTTGCCAATGGCCACGGGTATGCCCTGGACGACGCCGCCGTGGTCATGGCCGGCAGGGTACATGCCGTCGTTGACGGAGAAGTTCCTGCAGATCAAATAAGCTCGCATGGCAGCCTTTTCGCGGGCCAGGAGTTCGGTCTGGCAGACTTCATCGGTTTGGTATTCGCGGTTATTGACCCGGACGACGCAGGTGTATCCTGAGCCGGAGCCGCTGTTTACTTGTTCGTAAAGGGGCTCTGGCCAACGACGACGGCGACAAAGACCTGCAAGGGACAGAACACATGTTATTGGCTGGTCTGGTATGTTTGGTTTGGGAGGGCTGAGTTGGCAAATTGTCTTGTTTCGAGAAGAATGGAAGAAAGGAAAAGAAAAGAAAGGGGGTAGACGGCATTGATAGAGCAGGTTAGGTAGTCAGGTAGGTAGGTAGGTAGGTGATTTAGACGTCCGGGGAAAAGTCTATCGTGAAGCCACAGGGTGACACAACGTTGATCAATTCCAGCATTGAGCTGGGGGGCAGGAGTATAACATAGCCGGTACAAGACACAAGAACAGACTAGGGGGGGTATGTATGTTATTAGAGAAAACAAGCAGGTATCAGGCATCAAGACGAAGACGTTATTTTTCTTTCTTTTTTTGCAAAGTAACGGGTCCATTACTACAGAGAGACAATTGGACAATGGATCTGGATTCTGGAATATCCAGCCCGAGAGAAAGAAACCAAGGTGCCAAATTCTCCTGCCAAACGATCATCACCAAATAGGGGGAAGGGAGCAGAAGCATTGGTGTCCAAGGGGGAAGAGTAGACGGCAATTGATTGGGTAGCAAGCCATGCTTGTATGATACGAACGGGGTGCGTAGGATGAATTGGTTGGTTCAGAGCCTGTCAGGGGGAGGGATAAAGGGGGAGGGATAAGGGGGGAGGAGGAGGTCAAACATACTCGCTAGATAGAGGATGTAGTACATCTCGAGACCCAATAGCCGATGTACCCCCTTGAAACGTAAAAAACACACCACCAGAATTGGAATTAAGCTTGGGATTGGGTATCGTAGGGCAAAGCAAGGCAACCCGTCAAGTGTCCTCAGGCAGGAATACAGCTTCAGCAAGTTAATTAGATGTTTCTTCAGCCCAGCCCCAGCCCAGATGGACGGTTAGAAGCCCGACTCTCCCAGTCTCACGCACGCACAAAAATACGGCTGTTCAACCCGACCAGGAGCAAGAGTATGCTTTTTCTTTTCTTTTCTCGACGGAAGCAACGGACGGACGAAAAACAAGAGCTTCTTGTGGTGGTGGTGGTGGTGGTGGTGGTGATAGTGATTGTGATTGATGCCCAACAGAAACAGGAGTCGGCTAGTAGTAGTACACGGGCATTTGAAAAACAAAGACGAGGCTGTTTCTTTGCGGAGGAAAAAAGTCAGGTAGAAATAGCCACGAGAAACGAGACGGAGGAATTGGCAAACGAACTAAGAGAGACGCAGGAGGAGGGAAGGGAAGCGGAGGTTGTTAATAACGTTAAGGGGGGGGGAGGGTCAGGGAGGGCAAGGTTGTGTGTGCTATGTAAAGTAGTTAATGGGAATAGAGAAGGGTGAAGGGGATGTCTACGGGATACAAAAAGGACGGCGGTTTCTCTTATCTAACGGTAAAAAGCAAGAAAGAGGAGAAGAACCATTCTAGACGAGCCAGGTCAGAGGAGAGTCAATCGGGAGTATTTTAGCTAGTTCGTTACCTTGTGTATGTGTGAAGGTATGGGGGAGAGACAGCCGGCCGTGCAAAAACAAAAAGGAGAGATAAGAAAGACGCCTTGCCTTGCCTTTCCTTGTCTTGCAAAAAGAGATGATGGCGAAAGGGAGAAACGGGTGGGGCTATGATGAATGCTGCTGATGATGATGCTTCTGATGATGATGATGGAGGAGAGAATATGAAATGGTTATTCGCATGTATGGAATAACCGCGAGATATCCCTGGAACAAAACAAGCTGGCCTGGCCTGACGTTGACGTGATGTTGATACCTCAATGCTCTCTCTCCAACGGCATCACCATCATCAACCGCCATTAGTTACTGACCGGAGAGAGCCTCGAGGAGCCCGTCGAGTCCTCCGTCTCCTCACATACATACATACTTTCCGCGATTCTTGCTTTTTCCCCCTAACTCTTCCTCCCACTTGGGTTTTTTCTCGACCGGTTGATGTGTTGGCAGGTTTCCTCGCCAGTGAAGTTGCTAAGGGGGGGGGGGGGAGGATGGGCCCAGACAGGATCAAAGATCGAGAACCGGAAACCCTTCAGCATCCACACCCTGGTCTCGGGCGGACGAATCAGCGGGCGTGCAGCTGCGTCGATCGAGAGAGGCTATGGGGGCGGTTCTCCGTTGCCAGGCCAGGGATTAGTTAGTTATTTGGCGCTGCGCTGGGCTGCGCTGTCGAAAAAGGGACAGACAGGCTTGACGCTGCTTGTCCTTGCATGAGGGTTTGTGATATGCACGTCTTGTACCTAGTTATGCAAGAGGCGATGCATTACGAGGAGATGTGGTCGTGATCATGATCATGATCGTGATCCATGGCGTGAGTGAGGATGTACATACGTGGAGGTGAGGTGAGGTGAGAACCGGTTAGGCAGTCAGTTAATTGACGCTGGCAGGCGATTAACCGAGGGCGCCATCGCATGGGGGCGACGATTGACAGTGGTGAAGGCGAAAGAGACTGCAGACGCAAGGCAAGACAAGACAAGACCTGGGCTGGTGGATAAGGCCGAGTTTGAAGATGTTGAAGTTATCGACAGGGATGGGCGTCCTTATCCTGGGCCGTTGAAGGCGAGCGAGCATACTTACAGACATTTGGCTTGCTTGTATGTTATGTATGTAAGGATATGTGTGTGTGTATGTCAAGGTCGACTCGACTCCACTGCTGAACCTGACTTGCTTGACTTGACTGCAGCTGCAATGCACGTAATAGCTAGTCTGGAGGCGGAGATGGAGATGGAGATGCGCTGGCAGATGGAGACTTTTTTGCCTTATACTTTCTTACTGTCTACTTGGTGCCATCGAGCCGTTAACTCGTTAGTTAGCAGGTAACTAATGGTGGTGGTGGTGGTTATTAATAGGGGGGTTGATATTCGCGCAACCATCATCCGAGGAAGCCCAGTCAAAGAAGCTAGAGAGAGATGAATGGCTGGTTGGGAGTGGAAGCGGAAGTGGAAGTGGAAGTGGGAGGCTGCGAGTTCAAGTCGAAAGGGGGTCGAGTTTATGCGTTGTCCTGAGGGTGACAGGCATCTTTGATGCAGTGATGAGTTGGCAAGCGGGAGTTTCTTGACTCTTTTTTAACTTATTCCGAGAACTACCTTACTTACATTACATAGTACATAGTCCTGCTGGGTGAGTTGTTAAGTTAGTGGAGAATAAGCATGGAAGGTTCCTATGATGGTACGATGTTTCAGAAGGTCGGTAGAAAACGAAGAAGAAGAAGGATAAGAAGAAGAAGATGGATTGCCACTGAAGAATCCAAGCAAGGGTGGACAAGCGGACGGACAGAGTGAGGGCGGGAGCAGGGCAGGGCGCGTACAGACATACGTACAGACATACATAAGTACAGGTAGACAGACAGACAGACAGACATATATCGAGCATGGATTGATTACATACAGACATGCATAACCATCGAGGGATGCAGGAAGAGGCATGCACCAAACAAGCGGAGAGCTGAATCCGTCTGGCATGCTTAGCTAGGACGGCTCTCCAGACAAAGAAATGCTGCATGCACTTGCATCTACTAGTGTAGGTAGGTAGACAGAGGTAAGAATTAAGGGAAGAAAGAGATTAGAATTAGATGGAGATGGGATTGGCTCTGCACCATGAATGAATGGCGTCGACAGCAGCATGCGGAATGACGAAAAGAGGGTGCAGTGCCGCCAGCCGGTCTCTAGCCTCATACACCGTGTCAGCAGCCGCAGCGTCGTTGTTGTTGATCGAAAGGGGAGAAGACCTCCATCCGAACGCAGCGTCGAGGGAGCCACTGCTTGCATCGATGCTGGTGTTGGAGTTGACATTGACATGTCTGTGCTGGACACTACTGAGGCCAGCCAGGGTGTAACATGTATGATGCGAATCGACGTGTCTGTCTATACTGTCAGCTCAGCCTTAACTTATAACTAACTGCAGTGGCTTGAGGGTTAACTAGTTAGTTATAGGGGTAGATCTGCTTACTTCCCCGGCTTGTCTCGCAGGCCGCCATGCTGCGACTGGCAGCAGTTGAGGATATATCTGGTCAAGCCCTCGCGACTGTAGAGGGCGGAAAGGGGTTCGCAGTCCGACTCGGACTCGGAGTCTGAAGTTGGGTCAGACAAAGCCTGCTGGATCAGGGGCCAGCATCCGCCGACCCAGTGACTGTAGCAGCCGTCGACGAGCTTGTTGGTTCTGCCTGAGAAGCCGCCTTCGGGAGCGTACTGGCGAGCCGAGAGCCATGATATCAGCGACGGCAGATCAATGTACCTACTATTAGTTTAGTATATATATACAATTATACAAAGTAATAAGAGTGTTAGGGGATAGGGTACCTGAGCATAGTGCGAGGATGGCCCATGATGCAGAGACATGCGACGGCGCAGTAGGTGTATGCACCATGGGCCTCTGTCCCGGGACTCCCTGAGAACCCTCCTTCATACGTTTGGCCTAGAGAAGTTAGTACATAAGACTCAAAGTAAGAGAGAGAGAGAGAGATGTACATCTAGCGAGGTACTCTGGCAGGCCGCTGGTGAAGAGGGTGAGGCCGGCCTTGCGCGCAGGAGCATCGAGTGGCAACTCCAGCGGGAGATCCAGCAGGGCAATCATTACCATAGCGCAGTACGCTCCTCTGAAGAAGTTAGAAAACTTACTTATGAGAAAGTAAGAAGTAAGAGATAGACTGACCGGACATCCTGCTCGCCTCCGAGACTGACCTGAAACCCGCCGTCCGCCTGCTTGAGCTGACCCAGCCATCTCCAACTATACATTGTCAGTATAACACAGAAATGAGTATAGAGTAGAGTGAGTAGGGAGAGTACCATGCAAGTCTGTCAATCAAGGTAAACGCCTCCTGTCCGCCCACCATGGCCAGGCTGAGGGTAATGGCATACGAGGAGGCACAGTGAGCCGTCTGTCCATGTCCGCCGCCAAAACCCCCTGAACCACTCTGCATCGGCGCCGCAGTAGCAACCAATCTACCATCATCATCAACAAATACACTATATTCAATGCAAAAGACAAAAGATATCATACCTCTCTCTAAAAAGACTGACGTCCTCGCCCAGCAGGGCCAGCCCCGTCAGCGCCCAGTAGACCATCCACGGCCTGCTCGCGTCCAGCCCGACAAAGCGCCCCGGGTACTCCCCCAGGGCATCCAGCAGGTACTCTACATGCAGTTCTCTGGCCAGCGACTGGACGCCGTGCCTGTTGAGGGGCAGGCCGGTCTCCTCGCCGCGCAGGAAGGGGATGCATCTGCCGACCACCTCTGCCTGGGAGCGGGAGGTGTCTGTCTGCAGCGAGTCGAGGAGCGGCGGCTGCGTGGCGAAGAGGGAGGGTATAGCCATCTTTTGCTTTTTCTTCTGCTTCTGCTTCTGCTTCTTCTGCTTCTTCTTCTCGATGGTCCTTTTGGCGCTGGTTATAGATGGAGGGAAGACGACTCTTCTAGTCGGCATGGGGGGGTATTTTATACTACTGTCATGGCGTCTCTATATATTATTGTATATTGTGCTGGTGTAGATATTGTTGTGTTGGTATTGTCGTTCTTAGTAAGAAGACCAAAAGACCAAACCACTGACTGACTACTAAGTCACTACTAACTACTAACTGTCACGGCTGCGGCCCGCCAGCTGCAAGTCATCCTCGACTCTCCGGATTATCATGATTATTACGGAGTAGGTATGCTTTTGATCGTGATCTTGATCTCTGATCGGCTAAGAAGAAGCAAGTCCTCGCACAGTCCTCTCTCTAGTCTCTCTTCTCTTCTCTTCTCTTCTTCGCCCCGTCGACTATCGACTATCGACCTCGACCTCACCGCCGCCAAAGTAGCGGTCCTCTCTTTAACTACTCTTGCTCTTTGCCCTCTGTCTGTCTCTTTCTATGCATGTCTCTGTCTCTGCTCGTTTGCATCTGCATCCCAGCCACCTCCTCTCCCTCCCCAAACATCTTCTTCTCCATCTTCTCTTCTAACATCCTCTCTATCTATCTATCTTCTTCTTCTCTTACTGTCTGCTGGGAACAAGGATGACGAGGCCGTGCATGGGACCAGGGGGTGCGTGGCCGTAGGACGTCGCCAGAGAGAAGACGGAAGAACACGGGGTAGACCAGCCACTGCCAGACGAGAGAGTAGACCTAGTAGACTTAGTAGACTTAAGTAGAGTAGTAGAGTGGCAGTAAGCCAAGGCCGTGGCAGTGGCGGGGAAGCCTTCACCGCTGCTTTGGCCTTTTAGTCGTTAGTTAGAAGTCCTTCTTCTCTTCTCTTCTCTTCGTGGGGGAAAAAGAGCAAGACGAAGGACAAGCAAGAGAGTCAAGGCGCGACGACGGGCTTTTCTTCTTCTTCTTCTTCTTCTTCTTCTCGCTTCTCATCCTCTTTTTGCTTACTTCTTCCTCTCATCTTTCGTCAAGTTACATCGAGTGGACTGAGAGACTCCTAGCTGAGCGGCTGAGCTGGCTAACTGACGACTCACGACTCACGACTGACGACTGACGACCGACGACCTGAACGACCGACGACGGAGAGACCATGGCGGACGTCGAGCTGACTGCGGACGGCCTCGTTGGCCTCGACTACAGTCCCAGAGCTTACCTCTCGCATTCCTGGCCAGACGAGACGACAACAACTACTACTACGACGACATCAGCAGCGGCAACGACAGGGACCAGTGCAACGGCGACAACGGCCTTCGATGCTGCTGCTGACCCGGGGCTCATGACGGAGTGGCACTTCCAACGTCTCCAGCCTCACCTCCAGTTCCACCACCAGCATCAACATCAACATCAACATCAACATCAGCAGCATCACCAGAGTCCACCAGACTACTCTTCTTATACCACGATGCCGCTGCAGTCGCCCATAGGACTGCCCATGCTGCCAGTCACAGACACAGAGGTCCATCACCACCATCATTTAGACACCACTACCACTACCAGCATGATGGATGGCTCTTATATCCCCTTATCCACCCCCGTCGACATGGTCCCCTTCACCTGGCATGATTTCCACGCTGAACTCGGTGCTTTCCCCCTCGACGGCACTGCTGCTGCTGCTGCTGCTGCTGCTGTCACTACTGCGGCGACCATGAGTGGGACTTACCAGGCAGAGACCGGAAGCTCCCCCGTCGACAGCTACCTCGAGGTCCGCTCTCTCACCAGCGCCAGCAGCGACAACGGATGGTCAGCCATAGACAGAGCTCACTCCATAGACTCTTCTTCCTTCCATGACCATCATAGTCACCAACAGCAGCAGCACCATCCCATCTTCATCAACCCCAGCCAGACCCTGCACAACCGCAGCCTGTCAGAGTCCTCCTTCTCAGACCACCACTCCCTCCACTCCCGCAACTCCTTTGGCTCCTTTGTCGATGTCTCCCTCTCGCCACACATGCACTCCCCGGGCTCGGAGTCGGCGCTAGACTTCGACTACGGCCTCCCTTTACCCCGTCGTGTATCATGCGATCTCGTCTCCCATGGCTCCATCTCCCCGACTGCTGTCAGTCCCATCGCCATGGTCAGACCCATGCCCGTCATCACCACAAAGAAGCAGAACGCTTCCTCTTCTTCGCCTTCACGGTCGCCCAAGGCATCATCCTCTGCCTCTGGATCTGGATCGGGTGCTCATGTCTCTGCTGCTGGATCGCCCAGCAGAAAGCCGTCGCGTAAGAGTCCTATTGCGGCCAAGAATGCAGAGACCAAGGTCCGCAAGCAGAGCACCGGTGGTAAAGACGGTAGTGGCAACGGCGAGAAGAAGATCGGTAAGCGGAAGGGCCCGCTCCGGCCTGACCAGCGGAAACAGGCCAGCGAGATCCGCAAACTCAGAGCCTGTCTCCGCTGCAAGTTTCTCAAGAAGACAGTAAGTCTCTCTCTTTCTTTCTTCATTCTTTCTTCTTTATGTTCTTTACTGATATAATTCTTGTAGTGCGACAAAGGAGAGCCGTGTACGGGCTGCCAGCCATCGCATGCCCGGCTCTGGCAGGTCCCCTGCACCCGCATCGACATCAAAGAGATCGGCTACTTCATGAAAGACTGGAAGGCCGACTACGAGCGTCATGTGACCCTGGGCTTCTCCGTCGGCAACATCACCGGCTTCTCCGACCAGGAACGCACCCTCTTCATCACCCACGGCTACGGCCAGGTGCTTCCAGTCAAGGCCCGCGAGGTCTACGTCCACGATGAAGAGTGCTTCAACCTCGACTGGGTCGAGACCATGAGCCGCCCGGCAAACCACTACGACCTCAAGACCGCCAAGCTCTCCGCCGGCATGGAAGGCATCTCCACCGCCATGCTCTCAGACTACCTCGACCGCCACATCGACGGCAACGGCAGCTACGAGGGTTTCGTCGACGAGTACTTCGCCGGCACCCCCTTTCTCACCCAGATGCTCAAGACCGCCTACCGCTTCTACTTCCGCACCAAGCTGCCTGTCATCCGCAAGGCCCTCAAGCTCACCCTCGCCTACAACCTCACCATGCACGTCACCATGGTCGAGGGACTCGGCGAGCTCGAAGAAGAAGCCTTCTCGGGCAAAGTAGAGGACTCTGACAGCCACTACAGAGGCAAAGTCATGGCTCCCGTCATGATAAACTTCCAGGTCAAGTGCGCCATGGCAAACATGTGGCGCGAGCTCCAAAAGGACGTTCTCGAGGAACTCTCCGCCCTCTACTCCAGCGTCTACAGCGGCGAAAAGCTCAAGAACTGGCCCATCATCTTCATGCTCGCCACCATCCTGCTCGCCGTCTGGGAAGAAATGCAGTTCGACTGCCACTACCGCGTCCAGGACCCCGTCGCCGTCTCCAAATTCTGCAACGACATGGAGTCCATCCCCGTCGGTGTCATCGTAGGCTTGTTCCAGGCCATCTCGCAGAAGCTGCCTGCCTTTACGGACTGGGACACCGCGCAGCACCAGCAGATCTTCAACTTCAACTCGGACGTCTGTGCTGCCATGACAGAGGTCCGTGGCCATGTACGGCAGTACGAGTCCTATCTGCGCAGCCGCAACGAGACATCTGTCTTTGACCGGGAGGATTTCGACTGCCTCTCGAACAAATTCGTCAGTCGGCTGGTGATACGTGCAAATTGACTAGCCGACTCTGACGACCGGGGCCCGCGCGATAAGCGTGAGCGACGCCGGAAATGGGGCTGGGTCGGCGAGCGGCCCCCCGCGAGAGTGAAAAAGATGAAACTTGCCGACCTCGAGATGCGCAGGGGTGTTCTCGTCTCGTAACATTCCGCATTTGCACCAAACTTGTCTTAACCCATTGATCGATTTTACGGATGATGATGATGAACGAAGTCCTGTTTTTATGATGATCATGATGATGAACCGTCTTGCGTTCCGTTGCATCCCTATCCCTATACCACTGTTGACCGTTTCCCAGCCAGTCATCTGCCCATCCACAAACTATCTAAGATGAGAAGTTACTTCTCATCACGCATTACGTGTTACGATTTAATCCGTCATTCTTTTTACGACCCTCATTATGTCTGTCTATTTCTAACCCATGTTTGCAAGTCCAGTTTTCTATCTACCCCCATTACCTCACGGGATATATGTGTACTGTTATCGTTATCTTTAGTCCTTGCTGCTGTTTGTCGGCGATTTGGTTA